CTTTGCGCGAAATTCCAAAACAAACAAACAAATACAAATTAGTAAACTAAATTCAATACAATAATTTTCTATCTCATTACACAACTAAATAGAAAATTTTCAAACGGTAAAAGTGTTAAGAAAAAAAATCATTCTGAAGAATCGTTAATTTTTTAGCGCAAAGTTACAGATTACGCTGTGCTCACCGTAAAGATCGAAGCTCTAATTTTACAGTTGACCCATCAAGGAATTGTTATAAAGAAGAGGCAACTCACTAACATTTGTACTTTGAACAAGATAAATTAATTATTTGTTTAGTATAAATGAAAAACCAGTTCCCGGGTTAAAACAAGATAAACAAACGAAGTATTTATTTTGTGAAAATGAAAATCAGTTCCCAGATTAGTAATTTTATTGTTGATTTTCTTTTATACAGATAAAATATTTCGTAGCTCGAAGAAAGTTCAAAGAAGCTCTAAAGCCATACGACGTAAAGGACGTAATAGAACAATATTCAGCCGGCCATGTTGATTTACTCGCTAGAGTTAAGAATCTCCAGGGAAGGTTAGTAGAGTAACATTCAATCAATCACACTGATTTGTTAAGTGAAGTGAAAACCTCCAAGGAAATTGTGTAATTCATCTGCTGAGTTGATATGCGAAAAAAACTGATTCGGTATTTATTTCTTATACAAGTCTATGTTATATATATACATATATATATGTGGTAAAGTGGTTTCCAAAATGTGTGTCACGGCAAGTTGCTAGGGGTGTCGCGAGTGTTTCAACAAACAAAGAATAATTAAAAAAAATCTACAAGTAGTAGCAGAAGTGTCGCGCAAAGAAAGGTAAGTGGGTTAGGGTGTCGTCAGTGGAAAAAGTTTGGAAACCACTGCTTTAAATGGAGAAAAAAAGTAAGTTGTGTAACTGAAGTGTTTTTTTTTTCTCATTCAGTTAAAAAACATACATCTTGAAATTAATATCCTATTCAGAGAGAAGACAGTGTTTAGTTGCTATTGTAAAGACACGTATTTTATTTTCCTTATAATTGTTTATAATTTATCTTGTTACGTAATATCTAACCTTCACAATTCTATTTTCTCAAGTACAGCAACTCACAGGTGTGGAAGTACTCACATCCTGATATCTGCAACTTTGATTATTTCGTAAAAACTCTAGTATAATTTATTGATATTTATACTCTACCAAAATACTCAATTTCTCTTCTAACCAGCCCCCCAGTAGCACAGCGGTATGTCTGCGGACTTACGACGCTAGAATCCAATTGTGTAGCTTTGTGCTTAATTACAAACAAAGTCTTCTAACCAAGTTATGTAACTATGGAAAAGTACTATCTCTTTAGCTATAGTTTTCTTTTTACTACTTCCTGGGTAAAAGCTTTCTTTCTATACAACTTCCTAAGATATAGCTTCCTTTTTATGCTTCTTCCAAGGTTACATCTTCCTTTTTATAAGATCATTTCTCTTCCACCAGTCACATTTTTACCGGCCAACTGATACATATGAATCAGATCATACTTGATCAAATGTCTGTTCTGCTGGACAGACAGGGAAATATCTGTTCATGACCGCATTCCCAAGTAACATTTAGACCTAAAGAAGTCAGGAACTCTGCATAAAGGTGACTTTTGTTTTATAATCTTAAGTTTCAGTTGTTCATGACTCTAGATGAAATCCATTCAGTCAGTTTTCAGTCTGCCTAAATGAAGAACGTGGCATTCAACTTTGTATTAGGTCTTAAAGAAAGATGAAAAAACCCGAACAACTTATATATCAAAACAAAACATTTATTAAATGAAACAGTCTCCATTCTTATCGATGATGCTTTTCCATCTTACAGTCATGTTGTTAATGCACTGATCAAATAAATCACTTGACTTTGAAGCAAAAAACGTGTCAATGTCCTTTTTAACACCTTCCACATTTGCATACGTTTTCCCATTAAGATGTGTTGCAGCGAACGAAAAAGATGGTAATCTGATGGTGCCATATCTAGAGAATATGGTGAGGGGGGGGGAGAACTTCCCAGCCCAACTCCATAATCTTGTGTTGCGTTAAACGTGCCACATCTGGACGTGCATTGTCGTGGAAAAGAAGAACACCTTTCCGTTTGACGAGTGAAGGGCGTTTCTGATGAGGGGCTTGATTTAAA